CTTCTTCAAGTCTACTTCAAGTCTTGAGTCGCTGCTGGTCCTTCTGGCTTCCAGCTTTGAGAAGGAAGATGGAAGAGGCTGATCTGACTTCAGGTTGCTGAAGGAAAAGACTCTGGGGAGACATGAAAAGAGCTGACAGTCTCCATCATGTCTCTATCCCTTATTTGCTACACTAGAGACTTTGGGAAACCTCCCCTTGGGTGAAAGATCCAGAATTTTTCTCTTAGGTGAGCTGAGTTACTTCATTCCCAATGGGAGAGCTCGTTCATTCTGTATTATCTAGTATATATATTCTCCTATGAATACATTTTATGATTTCTGTTTTGCTTCTTGGGGTCCTCCTTTCCCCCAAAAAATGACACAGTGATCAGAAGTTAGCTTGAACTTGATCACATCCCCTAGACTAGTAAAGAAGTCAGGTAGATATAATTCTAGACTAGTACTCCCTCTCTCTGAGGAGAGCACAGTGGCAGCCTCTGGCCTTGCTTTCCTGCACCCCTCCCTCTGGCAGTTATTAAAGTGTCCCTTGGAGAAGGGTAGAGAGAATCTCCAAAGGCCTTGTGATGGAAAATGCTATTCACATCCAAAGAAAGAACTATGAAATTTGAATTGCTATTTCTTTTCTCTTCTGTTGAGTTTTGTTTCCTCTTTCTGGTGGTTTCTCCTATTTGTTCTAATTTTCACTTACAACATCACTAATGTGAAAATATGTTTAATAGGAATGTATATGTATAGCCTATATCAGATTGTGCTCCATCTTGGGGAGGGTGGTAGGGAGGAAGGGGAAGAAAAATGTTAAACTCAAAAGCATATGGAAGTGATTGTTGATAAATCAAAATAAATTAATTAAAAAAAGGAAAAAAAAGGGTAGAGGGAAAAGAGGTTAGAGATGTCCATTCTGCTTCTCTTTGAGCCACACAATATGACAGATTCATGATACATGTGAGCGGACAGCCCTCACTACACATGGGGCCTCTCCACACGTGGGCATCATTATGTAAATCTGACGTAACTCAGACGTTTATGTGGAAATGTCCAACAGGCAATTATTCTAAACTTGTTTATTCCCTTTATTACATCTACTGAATCACCAGCTTATCTGGCTCCACAGCAAAAAAAAAAAAAAGAACTCTGTCATCTCACTGTGCAATCCAATCATCAGTGAATCACACATGGCCAGAAGCAAGGCCTATCCTTATGCCCCAAACTTCCACATGATTACTTGGAACTAAAAATAACAACTCTATCAGCAGTTCTCAAAGTACGGTTCATGGTCTCCTGGGGGTGTGGGGCTGAGACCTTTCTAGCGGGGGGGAGGGGTGTCTGCAAGGTCAGAATTATTTTCTTTTTCTTTGTTTTTAAATACATTTTTATTGATACTTCTATTTCTTACACCACCATAGTATCCCATGCATCTCTTCCTCTCCTCTTCCCAGAGAGCTCATATGACAAATAATAGTTTTTGGAGATGGAGGAAAAGAGTCAACACAACTGATCAAAACATTGAAAAAGTTTAAAAAAAAAAAAGTGTGATGTGTAATATCTATGAGATCTCCCACCTACACAAAGGGTATGTGTGTGTGTGTGTGTGTGTGTGTGTCTTCTTATATCTTTTCATTTCAGTCCCACTAGATCTTTATCATTTTGTCACATTTACTTTTGATTTTTTGGTATGTCATTGTTCTTTCCATTTACATTGTTGTAGTCATTGTGTTAATTATTTTCTTGCTCTCTGCTTATTTCATTCTGCATCAGTTCATGTATATCTTTCCATGCTTCTTTGTATTCATCACACCTATCATTTCTTACTGTACAGTAACATTCCATTACATTCAGGTACCACAATATGTTTAGCCATTCCCCAACTAATGGGCATCTACTTTATTTTCAATTCCTAGTTATCAAAAAAAAAATGCTGGTTTTCTTTCTAAACATGTTTCAAATTCTTCTTTATTATTGAGCATCCATCTTTTGTTCTGTATGATAAAGCTCAGATTTGCAGGATAGGTCACCTTAGCTGCTGAAAAAAGCTAAACAGGCAGAACAGAAGTAGTAGTGTGGGGAAAGTTCTGTCAGGGCCGGGGTTCCACAGGGGTGGGTGGAATATTCACTAAGCTTGGGCTCACCTGCCTGTCTGGTTACTGATCTGCCTCTTGTGGATAAAGCTTTGGGTTATGCAACATGCCAAGGTATCAGCACACTATCTTTCCAAGATAGTTTTTCACCATTTTCATTGCTTGGTTGTCTTATAGCAGCTTAGAGTGGTGAAAAGTGCACAAGATCTAATGAAACAGTTTGTGTAACCCCAGCTAAGACCATCTCCCACTTATACTTTCTTAAAATGTTTTCACAAAGATGGTAGAGGATCAAAGGGCAAAGAAACTTGGAGGAAAATAATATATGTAGATGCACAAGAGAGCCCCAGATTTTCAGTTCTGGTGAACTTAAGGGGAACTTCTGCCCAAGGTTTTTGGGACCACACATCAGCAAGAAGAAAGAAGAGACAATGTCATTACAGTTTCCATGCCTCTCTTGCTGAGCCCAGAAAGAAATGCTGGATGGACACCCTTTCTACTATGACTGAAACTGTGGGAAAGAAGTGAACTAAAGACTCTTTGTGGAGTGGGTATAGAGGAGAGGAGACAAATGAAATGAGAGTAGATGGGTGAAGGAGTGAACTAGAACCAGGCAGAGGGGTGGAAAGCAAATCATGCTTAGCTAGCAGCTTTTTTTTTTTTTTTAAGCTAGCAGCTTTGATTGGTGAGAATAAACATAGTCCAGGCCACAACTTCTTTCTTCTTCTTTCCTCCCCATAGTATAGTGGTGGGGCAATTTTTACCCAAGGTTTTCATCTCAATCTCTGTTCTTCTGATCCCCTAAGAGTAGTTGAGAGAAGGGGTAGAGAGCAAAGGAGACTTCAACCCTGTTGTAGCCTGCTATGCATTACTTTAATATTGATTTGTTTTTCTATTGTTTGATGCTGCAAAAAAATTAACATATCCTTTAACAATGGATTGTCAAATCCTTTGGATCTGAGGGTTTGAGATTCAGAGAGGAAGCCCATCCATGAGAAAAATAGAGGCTTGAGTTGATTAGTTGATTAGTTTTGAATTTTGGGGGTAATTTCTTAGTACAGTCCAGAGTGTACTTGTTAGATTATCTTTGAACTTGGAGAGAAAGTTAATGTAACTGGAGTACCAAAACCCATTGGTATGAGATTCTCTTATTTGTAAAGATCAATGCCCCATACCTATGCAAGGACAGGAGTTGAAGTGGTGAGATAGAGGATAGTGCCAGGTGTTTTGAGTTTCAAATTTCTTGTAGGCTCTTGAGTCTCTTCAACTCTCTTGAGTAGGTTTGAACCTTCTTCAAACTTCTTCAGTGTCTTAAGAGTCTCTTTGGGCTTTAGGTGCTTCTGGCTTCCAACTTTGAGAGAGAAGATGGACAATGCCCATCTCACTTCAGGTTGCTGAAGGGAAAATAAGACTGTGAGGAAGACAACAAGAAAGGAGCTGTCAGTCTCCATCACATCCCCATCCCTGGATTGTGGCATGTAGGGTGTTCAGGGAAGACTAATACCTCTGATGTGATGGCTGCTAAGCCTTTTTCAGAGCTGCTTTCCCCCTTTGGTGTCTACTTGATTCATCCAATTCTCACTTGTGATTCTGAGAAGCTGTAGCATGCTCAGTGTCCACACCCTACTAAACCATTTCAGCAGACAGGCTAAACCAGGTTGAAGTAACTGATGTGGTCTCAAATCTGTTGGTGAGTTAGGGGGTTGTCTACCCCAACCAGGTGAAGACTTCCTCTGGGTGGATGGGTGGATGAGAACAATATGTTCCAATAGTCATGAAGGCAGTAAAATGGGATCAGTGCTGTCTTTTGACTTGCACATAAATTGTGTTTAAGTAAGGTAGAGATGTACAAAGTTGTCAGCCTCACTTTTTCTTCCAGAAGTGGCAAGACAAAAATCAAGATGACTTGTGATAGCTCAGGAGGCAATGGATGACCTTTACATCTTCAATGTCTAACCAATCTCCCCCTGTCCTGCTTTCTTAACAATTCACTGGGAACCAAGCTGTTAGCATTTCTCACAGCACAGAGGCAAGAGACAGTATGGTGTTTGATGAACTGACTGAAGGCCAGTGTAGCTGGATCATAGAGTATATGGAGAAGAGTCAAATGTAAGAAGACTGGAAAGCCCTTCAGAGCTTGTCCACTCCAGTCCCAGGAAATTGGGACAATGTCTGGCCCCCAAACATGCTGCATAGGTGGTACTTAGAATTTAATCCTTCTATGCCTGCATTTGAGACCCTTCAGAAGTTTAGCTTTGCTCAGCTGTCTAAGCTTACATAGGGCCTCCTCTGGGCTATCCACTTCACGACTTACACACAATTGTTGGGTCTACCGGGGCATGACAATCCTGGGTTCAAAGCACTCTGTGAAGCCACACTCTTAACTATTGCTTAGGGCATCTAGGTGGTTCAATGGATAAAGCACTAGATTTGGAATGAATTAGACTACTTCCTGGGTTCAAATCTGGCCTCTGACACTTACTAGCTGTGTGACCCTGGGCAAGTCACTTAACCCTGTCTGCCTCAGTTCCTCATCTGTACAATGAGCTGGAGAAGAAAATGGCAAACCACTCCAGCATCTCTGCCAAGAAAACCCCAAATGGGGTCACGGAGGGTCGGACACGACCGAACACCACCACCACCTCTTTCAGAAGGGCTATCGTTGGCAAATGGCTTCAGACTTCACAGCCGGGGTGGGAGTGCCTACAGGTCTGGAAGAGAGAAGAGCGTGGGAACAACACAAATAACCGCACACACCGCCGCCCCCCTTTCCACCTCCTCAGGCCACACCCAATCCTCAGAAGCCTATCACACGCGATAACGTCATCATGCTGCGCCGTGGCCTCTCCCGATCACGTGCCCAAGAAGCGGCGCCGTGAAAATGGCGGCGTCTCAGCGTGAGGGGCGTGCCTAGACAGCCGGGGCGCAAGATGGCGCTGCTCAAAGAGAGTGTGCTGCATCGCTGGGGAGCTGAGTGGTTGGGGGCCGTGGCCGCCGCCACCCGGAGAGGTAGGGGCTGTTTACTGGCCACCCATGGGACCTCCTGCCGACTCCCGAAGGCCTTTTCCCCGACCACACGCTCCCCAGTCCTTCCCTTTTCCCGCCCTCCAGCCTCGGTCTGGGGGGCGCTTTTGTCCCCCCGCGCAGGTGGCCCAGTCTCTCCGACTCTGGTCCCCCCATTCCGTACAGCTGGGGTAATTCTTGTGTTTTTACAGCTGTTGGCCCAGTGAGATGAGTCTATTTGTCTCGGTCTCTGGGGCCATCCCTTTTTTGCTCCCAGCCAAGACCCACACCCCGCATGTCATCCCACCACCCCTCTCCCGCTCCCAGTAAAATCCAGACCCCCCCAATGTCACCCTGCTACCCATCTGAGATTCAGGCCCCCGAACGTAACTCACCACTTCAGCTAGGGCCCAGACCCCCAAATGTTACCCTACCACCCTTCTCCCACCCCCAGCCAGTACACCACCCCTTGTGCCACTCTGCCACCCCTTTCAGGTTCCGAGCCAGGACCCAGACTTCTGAGTATCACCTCACCACCCCTCTCCTGCTCCCAGCTAGGATCCAGACCTCCAAATGTTACTTCCCTTTCTAACCTCCCCCCCCCAGCTTTTCTTTGGGGAGTACCACCCCTTTTGGACTCCAGGGTTCCCATCCCAGCCTCATCCTTTTCATTGCCTTTCTCTGGTTTGCTCTGCAGCTATCAGTTTTAATCTAGAAGAAAAGACAGCTCATACCAGCCTCGCAATCTTCAAGGGGGAGACCGGTGTTAAGTATGGCATGGTAGGGCTGGAGCCCACCAAAGTGGCCCTCAATCAGGAACGCTTTAAGGAGTGGGCTGTGGTGCTGGGTAACACCGCAGTCACCAGTGGTCGGCACTATTGGGAGGTAACAGTCAAGAAATCTCAGCATTTCCGAATAGGTGTGGCGGATTTGGACATACCTCGGGATTGCTGCATTGGTGCAAATGATCATTCCTGGGTGTTCACCTATGCTCACCGGAAGTGGCATGCCATGCTGGCCAATGAGAGTGCCCCAATAACAGGCATTGGCCAGCCTGAGAAAGTGGGACTGCTTCTGGACTATGAGGCACAAAGACTCAGCCTGGTGGACGCAAGCCAGACTGCTGTAGTATACACCTTAAGGACAGAGTTCCGAGGCCCAGTGGTGCCTGCCTTTGCCCTTTGGGATGGAGAGCTGCTGACCCACTCAGGGCTTGATGTGCCTGAAGGAATCTAGGGTGGCTTAACTAGAACCTCTCACTGAAGCCCCTGGGTGGGCCCTTTTATATGTCCAGCCCAGTTTATTCTAGTTCTCATACCTACTCATCCAGCAGTATCGGGCAGTTGTGCAATATCTTGAATTCATCTGCCATTCTTTCTTCTATTCCCTATGGAGGTTGAAGAGACAGCTCCCAATTCTGCCAGACACATATGTGTCCGATTTTGTTGGGGACCAGTTTGGTTATAGAGAATGATACGTGCGCCTCCCACTGGGCCACTAGCCAGTCTTAGATTTTACCCATTCTGAAAGTTTACCCCTGCACCTCTGCTTTAACTTCATTACTATAATTCTACTTGAAACATAAACCAAGGTGACCCTCTCCCACTCTGCCCATATTTGGAGTCTAGTGGTTTTCTGTTTGGGGGTTCTACCAAACTTCTCCAGAATAAGCCCTTTCTACCTGTGGCTAGAGGAGTAGCAAAGTTGTCAATGTGTCATTGCCCTTTTCTTTGTTTAGTACACGGAGTCTGGACTTTTAGCTCATTCACAAGTGCTTTATTGACTCAGTGTGCTGTAGCCCGAGAACATCGTCCTGATCCCAACAATCTCAGAACCATACAACCACATAGCTGCAACCGTTCCCGTCCATGAGTCTTTCTGTCTGTCCAGATTCCGATGCCCAGTCAGTCAGTTACAATTATGGAGGACAATGGAGAAAACTTAGGGGTTAACTAGGTCATTGGTACTGGGAGTTGGCATTCTTGAGGGTACCATCTTTACAAACATTCCCTCCTTTGAGGATTTTGTAAAGGGATTGCTGGGCAGGAGGTTTCACCTAACTCATGTTCGGCAGAGAGACTTGAAAATTTTCAGTTTTAATCAAATATGATAAATAGTATTCTCTGGGTCATGGACCCATTGTCCCCTTCACCCCTTAATTAGAAGTGATCTTTGCCTTTTCCCTAGAAGAAATAAGAACCCATATAAAGCAAAGTTTGAAGTATATGTAGTGGCTATTACTGTATAAATATACATTCTGTACACCATCTGGCCCCTCCTACTGTAGTGGTGGTGGCTAAACACTCCTCATCAAAGGAGAAAGGGAGAGGGCTGGGTTTAACAAAAATATTGATTTGTATAATTAAAATTTTATTTGATCACAAAATACTTTCTCTGTCTATAAAAGAACTATTAGCAGCATTATATCCTGATTGAAGGGGGTACAGTACACTTCAGCCTCCTTCAAACCAGGCTCCACAGCTTTCCTCATTTCTCCTCTGTATATACTTATAAGAGGTGTAGCAACCCAGGGCTCCTCATCAGTGCACTCTTCCTTTCTTTAATATGTTTCTTCAACCATGGAGTCAGGGAGAAGAAATAGAATACAGACAGTTCTCACATTATGCAAATTTGACTCCTGCCAGCCCTGTGGCTCAGGATCCCAGCAAGCAGTGGCAGGGGAGTGTGCTAGGGGTCCTCCACTCTACGCACTGAAGCCACTCTGGCTAGGGGTGGGGTAGGGAGGTGCAGGCCTCTAAGAGCTCCAAGGGAAGGGGGATGTAGGGAGGAGGGAGTCTGTGGAAAGGTCCACTTACTTAAATGAGAACTGGCTGTATTTAAGAAGAAACCTAGGTAAACTTTCTGGGGATGCTAATTGAGTCAAAGTACGTACTTGCACCATGCAGAAACTCAAACCTTCTGGTCAAAACCCAATTCAAAACCTGGCAGTGGCCACTAGGACCCCTCTCTGAGCTTTGTCTGAAAAGGTAATGGGGGATCTGGCTCATGATGGGGGTGGTGGGGTGAATGGGCTGGGGTCACTATGAATACTCCTCAAAGAGGCTCTGGTCTAAGACATTAAGCTGACTTCCCCTCTTCCCTCACTGAAGCCAGGTAGACTTCATTCCTGTTGATTCTTGTTTAAGGGAGGGGGTAGCCCCCATTACACCATGCTCTCCAGGTTTTCCTTAGATAGGGCTTCAGCTGCTGCCTCAGCCTGAGTTTCAGACAAAGTATAGGAGTCCTGGTAATCCTGCAGCAGTTTGACCACTTCCAGATGGTTGAACTGCACAGCATCATTCAAGGGAATATTGCCCCACCTGTGAAGGACAGAGCAATAATCAGACAAATAGGGAATTGGGTAGTGATAAAAAGGGATAAAAGAAAGTTCCATCTACTGGTTCCTCCTACTCACCTGTCCTTCACAAAAGGATTTACTTTGCAGGCTTCCACCAGGAACTTGACAACCTCCAGGTGTCCTAGGGGTACAAAGAGGGTCAAAGCTTGGAGGTCTCTGACAACCCTGACCCCATTAGCCTCCCATGACCCTTAAAGAAGGGTTGGGTGCAAGGAGGGGGGAAAAAAGTTATTTTCCTATCCCCTCATTCCTTTAAACAGTAGGGTATAATTCTAGCTATAAATTGTAGTCAGGGGGTCCTAATTTGGCTTTGTGCCTCCAATAGCCATCAGGACAATAGCACTCAATTTGAATGAATGCATACATGTGCTCTAATGGAGGTTGGTTCATGCTTTGTGTCTTTTCCAGAGAGGAAAAGGGATGAGATGTGATGGTGAGTAGATGGAATAAACCTACAAGTGGGCTTTTATGGTCTGGAGCCCTTGTCAATCTTTCAGATACCTTCTGCTGCAGCAACATGTAGTGCTGTGCGGGAGTCATAGTCCTTCTGTTCCATGTCCATGGCTGATAAGGCAAACCTAGGAGCAATAGCACGAGAGCTGCTGGTGTCCTTCAGTTCTGGTGTCACCAGCAGTGGCCCTTCTGAAACAGGGTTGGTGCTCAGAGAAGTGTGGAGGAAAATAAGGAAGAGGGCCTCTGCCATGCCTGAAGTGCTCCAGCTCTTCCAGGGGCCTTGGTGGTTCTATGCCCACATGAACCTGAATGAGTATCTCCCAAGTAAGAGTAGGGGCAGGAAGATACCCTGTAAGTACCAGTCCTCAGATTTGCCAGGTGTGTCCTCACCCGCAGGGCCCTGCTCTTAGCTTCTTAATTCTATCCAATAGCACACTTCTGCAGGTGGCAGCAGGAACTGACTCCGGAGGAGTCCAGAAGACCCAGATGCTAATCCTAGCTGTCACACTCCCTGTGTGATCTGAGTTAAGTCATAACCTCCCTGGGCTTCAGTGTTCTCATCTGTAACACAACAGGGAGCTGCCCTTCTAGCTCTTAATCTTGGAGCCTGAGTTCTTATTTTTAGCCACCAGGGTGATAGTACCTTCGAAGAGCTGAAACATCTCCACTGTAGGCAGCAAAGAGCAGGTTCACCACAGTCTTGTTCTGGGGGAGGGGAAAAGCAGTTACCTGAGGACAATGGTGCCACACATGGATAGCCCTAATGCATTTAGGCCCACTTACATGAGCAGTCATGGGTGCTTGCTGCTCAAGGTGCTGGGAATGGTCTGTTTTAGGAATCTTTCTACAACCAACCATGATTTTTCTTACCCGTACTTCTCCTCCTTCACGTCGAGGGTCCAGCTTCTTAGCGCAGTGCCGCAAATTGTCATAGTTGTGGAAGTTGAAGAGAGATACCAGCTTCTACAGTCACAGCCAAAGGGAGACATGGAAAGTAACACATGGTAGGTACTCAACAAATATTTGATTTGGATTTGATCCTAAAGGTACAACTTACCTGGCAGAAGCTGATGCCCCTGAGGCTGTTCCCCGCCTTGTCCAGAGGAGGTGACAGGCACATCAACCCCATTACATTGGGTACCACAAGCAAGATGGCTCCTGACACTGCAGACTTGGCTGGGAGGCCCACCTGGGAGACCAAAGATGGGGCTGAACGTGTGCCAAAGATTGTACACAACTCGGCCACATAACCACTGTGGGAGAGGCCACACATGCCCATCTCTTGAGCTCTCCCACTTGAGTGGTCAGCCAAGGACGCTGCTCAGGCTCCTGTGAATATTTTTTTTTCACATTCTCATCATGAACCTCTGATTTTCCTTACATGTACTTATCTATAATACTGCCAAATCTACATTTAGGTCCTTCTTCCCCCCTCCCCCCGCCCCCTACATCCCCAAAGGCTCTTGCTTAATAGCCTGATCCTCTTGACTGGAAGAAAAGAAGAAAGATCAGCCTGAATATCTCTTGACAAAAAATGTGAGGGGTCCAAGTAGACTTACATGGAAGGCAAACTGTCCAGAGAAGTCATACATGCCGCAGGAATGCATGAGGCTGAGGGTGTTGCGAACAGCTTCAGCACTCAGCACGCTCTCGCCCGTGATCGGGCAGATTCCACCATTGGCGAGTGTGGCCGCCATGACGCTGCCCGATTCACATGTCACTTCCACTGAGCACAGCTGGGAAAACAAGGGGGATGGTGGAGGATGTTGTGTAACCAGTCACTACCTTCATTTTGGATGGAGAGCAGGGGTAGAGGACCCTGATGTGATGAGAGAAGTCTTCCCTACAAGATATCCCTTTCAGCACAGAGAGTATTTTGTCTCTAGTTCCCACTCAGAAGGCTCAGAGCTGAAACGTGTTTTATTTACCTGGAAGTAGAGGTCCAAGGCAGCCATCATGTCAACTCCCTTAGGAAAACACTGCAGGGGAAGAATAGAAAAATGCATTAACTGCTATTTGGCACCATTTAGTCAACAGAAGTCATTGCTTTTCAGTCCAAATTCCTTAACATCAACTAAGCTCCCTGCCCCTCTAGTTTCTTTCTTTCTTTTTTTGGGGGGGGGGAGGAGGCAATTGGGATTAAGTGACTTGCCCAGGGTCACACAGCTAGTGTCTGAGGCAGCATTTGAACTCAGGTCTTCCTGACTTCAGGGCCCATGCTCTATCCACTGCACCACTTAACTGCCCCTTGCCCCTCTAGTTTCAACAGAATTCTGCTAACTTCCTCCAGCACCTTTTGTTACCTTTTTTTCCTTGAGATAATAGCCAATGGCATAATTCCGATCTCCAGTTTCCTTTTCTGACTGGAACCTACAGCAAAAACTAGTTAGTAAGCCTAAAATTTGGAGTGGGTCATAAAAAGAGGAAATATTTTCTCTGCATTAAGGGAAATCATATCATAGATATCCTACTAAACGTTTGACCCTGTGCAGGGAAGAATCATTGCTTTACAATGTAGAACATAGAAAACCTTCCAACAATCTATTCCAGGAGGACTAGACTAGGAAACATCTAGGACAGGGATGAAACCCAGGCAGTGTCCTAATCATTATCAACCTCAATCTACTGGAAAAAAAAAAAGCTACATCTCAATGAAATGTCAATGAAATGAAGCACTAATGTTAAGTTACAGGATAGGAGCAGCATATGCCCCAAAGTACCCTTAGATTTCCCCTTTCCCCAAAAAAATCTCTCATCGAGTCTTACGTAGCATTGCTGAAACCCATATATTCATTTCCCGCCAATTTGTTCAGATATTGCAACACCTAGAAGAGAGTAAGAGGAGTCAGGAAAAATATTCCACCTAAGTAATGACAAAGACCAAGTTGACAAGGTCTTCTGAATCACTTAGTACTGATCACAGTTTGGCTTTAGAGCTCAGGAACTTCAAAGGGCTCCCAATTCAAGGCAAAGGCTAGTAGCTTCCCACACCTCAGAGAATGAGGGTCATATTCTGGGCTGGTGCATTGGCTACTGGGAACATTTCATGTGGCAGTAAGTGAACTTACAAAATCAAACTTCTCTGCTTTATTGCAGTCCATCTGCAAAAAGAAACATATATCAGCACAGGGGAAAGCATGAGGTGATGACCCCAGGGTAGACATAGGAGGATCTGGAAGGGGGAGAGGACTGATCTTGATGGAGACATGGAAGGAATGAAGTGGGGGTAACGTCTGGACATGTATGACCCAGAGCAGCCAGCACTGAGCAATAATGAGGGACCAGACCCATCTCTCACTTCCCCACACCAATGTGCTGCCTAGAGGATCAAAAACACAGGCTCCTACATCTCAGTAGTGGGGGGAGGGCAATCTGGTACCACCTTCTTCAACACGGGCTACGATTGGCTCCCAGGATGTTGCTGCCCTCAGGGTTATTGCTCAAGGCCTGGGAGGCCTACAGCTGGTGGGCCAGTCTGATACCCCTGCCCAAGGCCAACTCAGCAGTTCCAGGTGACTAATAGCTGCTTCCACTCAGGCCATTCACCCTCTCTCCCCATCTACTCCCTCACCCAGATGTGGCCAATCAGCACAGAAAGGTGCTGTCCTCCCCCTGGTCTTGGCACTTAGCCTTTGGGATTAGGGAGGCAGCTAGAGCCTTTTTTCTTCTCTAAGGACCAAGGTGTTACGCTAGGGCAGGGAATGTACCCATTGTGCTGTGACTTTTCCAAAGAGATGGTAAGACCAGGATCCTGACAGTTTCCATGTCCCCTCTGGGGAATCAGAGCTAGGTGTAAGCTTATTTGAAGAGCTGGCTAAGGCAGAGTGATGTTGCACTTTGCCTCAGTGTAAAATGGGGAATACAGAGCCAGAGACATTTGAAGGATGAATAGTTCTGGCAGTATTTTTGGACTGAGGTCAGGACACTTACCTTTATCAGGGAACTCACAACAATGGCACCAGCATTTACCATTGGATTATGAGGGATTCCTGGGGAGACACAATCCACCCAAGGCTCTATCAGTGGGGGCTCTGGGACATGACTGCTTCCCACCCTCTATTGCCCTCCGTCCTCTCATTCTGTTGGTCAGTCTGAAACTCACAGACCATTTTTCTGGGAAGGTGGAAAATACTGAGCTAAAAGAAGGGGCAGAGAAGCACATGGAGAGGGGGTTAAGACTGATAGCAAAAAGGAAGAGCAGAAAAGTAGCAGCCTATGCTTTGGTCTGAGTTATGGCAGCTCTCACCTTCCTCATTGAGGGAAAGCTTGTTGTAACGTAGACCACTGGGCTCTTTGCCCACATATTTATGCACATACTCAGTGCCCAGGTTGCTGACAGAGATGGCATAAGTGAGGGGCTTCACACAGGACTGTAGACAGAAGGGGATCTTAGTTTGTCCTACTGAGTGCCTATAGATAGAGAAAAGCTATGAAAAGGGTGGCCTTAGTCCTGCAACTCTTCCCTCCCTGCCTAGTCTTCCCCCTTACCCAGTATCCTCACCTTTGTCCATCCACTGTGCATAGTGAGACACCCCACAGATCAGGATCTGACTTGGCTAGTTGGGGAATGTAGGCTGCCACCTGGGCAAGAGGAAGTTTGGGAGAGAGAAAGAAGAAAGAAAGGAGAGGACAGGAGAGGAGGTGGGTGAGGGGAAAGAAGGGAGGGAGAAAAAGAGAGAGAGAGAGAGAGAGAGAGAGGTTAAAGGAAAGGGTGGCAGAACAATTGATAACCCGAGTTAAAATTTCACATAGTCAGAGTTGGAATGTATCTCAGAGGTCATCTCATTCAATAGGAATCCCCTTGACGACATTCCCAATAAGTGATTATCCAATCTCTAGTTGAAAACTGCCAGCCTTCAAATCTTTCAGCTTTTCAAATACAAGTTTACAAATTGTGGCTTTCTAAATGTCCCCATCCCCAGCCCAAAGTCCTTTATTACATATTTTGGATGATCCCCTTTTTTTATGGTTCCCAAGCACGTCAAAGAACCGCTGGACATTGGAAGGAACAAAAAGGGAAGTCCTAGCTTCCTTTAGATATGGATGTATATACATTATCTATAAAGTTTCCTTTAGATATCCACTTCTATCAAATTGCCAAATTGGTAGTTGGTCTTTTTCCTTGCTTTTCCTCCCCAGAACTTCAGGAACTTTACTGAGCTGGGATCTGTGCAGTGGGGGTAGAAAGGCCTGCCCTTTGGCTCCTAATCACTGGGACTCATTTACAATTCTCTTCCTTTAGCCATACAGCATATTTCTTCCCCCTCACTGTCCCGTTCCTAACCTTGCCTTCTGTGCGTTCTTTGGTCTCCTCAAAGATGCGATCCACATGGTCTGTGAACTCCTCAAAGTCAGGAATGACAAACTTCTTTCGGAATGCCTGGGTCAGGAGCACAATGTTGCTGCTCACACATCTGGACCACACAATCACAACTGAATCAGGGGGATGAAGTTAAAATATTATTCTACCCACTCAACAGGACCCTTTAGGGTTGGGGGAAGGAAACGGTAAGCTAAGAGCTGAGCTATATAGCTTGACCCTAACTACCTGTGAGACCTTGGGTAATCACAGTCTCTCTGGGCCACAGCCTCCTCATCTATAAAAACAGATTGGAGGAAGTGATCTCTAAAATCTCTTACAGTTTTAATATCCTATGAATTTGTGATTTTTAGACAGAAGTGAAAGAAGTGCTTTTGTACCCTAGCTCTTACTTTCTAAAAAGATCACGGTCTAAGAGACCCCCGCTGCTGGATTCTTGAACCATCTTCCGCATCTGGCTCATACAGTCCCGGAGCCGGGGATCTGATGTCTGCAGTCCGGTAGCTCTCAGTGCCTTCAGGGGAAAGAGATGGCTCCATGAGCTCCGGGATGACATCACTCTGTCCTTTCCTAACTCAATACCTTGCCAGCCCATGTTTAACTATGGGTACTAAAATATGGAAGAATAGAATGGATACTCAGTGAGTTTCCTAAAATTATAATCTTCAAATAAGAGGCTGGACAGAGCCCATATGGCTTTCTGGGGACTGATTCATGCTTTGGACAAAGCACTTCTAAGACAGGTTCCTTTAAACTCTAAGATTGTATAATTCTATTAAAGAAAGTACTGGAGTAGCTCCATTATTGGTCTCTCTCATAAAGAAAAATAGTAACTTCTGCACTTGGTTCGATTTAACGGTTCACAGTTGAAAGCCCCAAGGTCATAGGGTATTCCCTTCATATCCCAGATTGACCAGGAAGATTAATAGGCATGCCTGAGACAGGGGTAAGATGACTCCTATTAACCTAGGAGTTTTTAATACCACTGGTTACTTAACCTCATGTATTATAGGTTCCCAATAGCAGTTTTGCATGCATGCTGCCCTTCTGTCTCCTACCCCTTCAGAAACTTGGGTAACTAGGTAGGGGAAACTGGAGAATAGCTCACAGCAGTGAACTTATGGAGGGCGATCCTTTCTTGTCCTTCAGCAATGGTGTAGAAGAGCAGGTCACCCAGGCGAGACAGCATGCCACTCTCTGATGCATCACTGTTTGGGGGTATGGATAAGGGGGAGAGATCAGAGATCTCAGACACATTCTCTAAATTCCTCTCCTGTTTCTTCTAGGAGCAGAGGTTAAGGACTGTCTTATGAGTAGAAATGCAAATGGCTACAATGTGTTTCCTTTGGGTGGCATTTATATCTATTTCTGGAGCTTTATTCAGAGCCAAAAGAGAGGGCTGACTATATATAGATGTATGTGTTTATAGCTATATATGTATGTATATATATAATATATATACATACATATGTATGTGTGTGTGTGTGTGTGTGTATGTGCAAATACCTGTGAATGTGTATGTAGAAGTCTTTGAGAATCCTGACTTTTCCATCCTACCTCTCTGTCTGGCATCCCAAGCCTAGACAGGAAGGAGGAAGAGATAAACTGGACTGGGAGGTTTAGCACTAGCAAATTTCCTCAGCAGGGAAGAAAGATGCAGAATCACGCAGACTCCCAAAGAAAGGGGACATCTGGGGTAATGGAGAAAGGCCAGCACACACCTACCCACACATAAGCAAACAAGATCCTAGTCTGGTTTGCTGGCTGACTCTGAGCTGGGGGAATCTAATTCTCAGCGAATTAATTCCGCTGACGGGGTGGGGGGAGCAGGCAGGAAGAGAACCAGCATTTATTAAGTGACTACTATGTGCCAGGCACTGTGCTTTTCAAATTTTATTTTATTCCATCTTCACATGACTGTGAAGTAGGTACCAAAAAACCCTCTCTCTTTAAGTAGTCATATAAAAATCTACCCTATTCTGTAAGCTTAATTTTTGACCCACACAGGTGCTACCTTGTAAAACAAACACATACATACACATCACGTTCTCCCACGCTTGAGCTAATGCAGCAATAATAAACCCCATCACTCTCAATCACCCACATCAGTTAACACAGTGAAGGCATAGACATACATATATACATACATACATACAAACACATTTACGTATATGTGTATGTATGTGTGTATGTATGTATATCAGACAAAAAGCTAGACACTGGAGGAAATATTGCCCAAACATTGCCACCACTCCATCCTCTACATGCAAATATTTACTTGGACTTGTACTCTAAATGTAAATACCACCCAAACAACCCGCACCCAGCATTACAGAGAAGATAATTCTGTCTCTCTCTCTCTCTCTCTATATATATATATTATATATAACAATATAATATATATTGGTGTAAACCGGGCTTCCAACTAAGCCTAAACACCCCAGGTTACACTAGGTTGGGATTGGGAAGGAAAGGTGGGAGGGGAAGAATGAAGTGGAATTAGAGGGGAGGGTCTTGTGCCCCGAGACTCCAGGGCAGTGCTCGGCCCACCTACGCACCTTGCAAACTTACATTCCGGAGGGTCAATATGACTCAACCCTCGTCCCGAAGGACTCCGCAGGATAGCCCAGGTGGGCCGGACCCAAACCCCCAAATCCCAAGGCAAGGGCATCACGGTGTTGCGCGGTGGGAGAGGAGAGACCAGAAAGGAGGAGGTGGGAGGTAGGTGGAGAACTGGGGAGAGAGCAGAGCGCTTCCCAGAGGAGGGAGGGAGAAAGGCGCTGGAGCTTGGGGCTCTGTCGCGATGAGTGCACCCCCCCACACCCCCGCTCCCCACTGCTCCCGCCTTACTGTTCCGTCTGATGCTGCGGCTGGTGGCTGTTCAGCATCTCCCTGCCTTGGTGGCGGACGCTTCCAACAAGGAGGGGATCCCGGGCCAGGGGACCCCATGCTCCCCGCCCGGGAGGCCGTCCACCTGGTCCACACAGAGCTCCCCGGAGAGCTCGTAGGGAGCGCATCCCCGGGCCTCCAGCAGTCGGTTCCGCGAGGGAGCACAGACGCGCCTAGGAAGGAGCTAGGGTGGGGCTGGGAGGAGAGGGTGGTGGAGAGGTGCAGAAGGATGTGCCAGGTATAGGTAAGGCTCGGAGGGGGGCAGCTGAGGGAGGCCGCGGGAAAGGGGGGGAGTCCGGCCTCTTTACAGGAGCCTCCAACAGCGGCGCGTGTCAGTCCCCCCACTATGACCTTAAGTACGTTCGATGGCGGAGGAATGGGGGGAAGGAGGAGTAAGGACAGGGTGGAGAGGGGCAAGGGTCGAGTCCAATAAGCGAGCAGAGGGAGGGAAACAGGGTGGGCGTGGGGAAAAGGTGAGACTGCCCATTAATGGGACTGAGGTGGGAGGAGGGGGTGCTGCTGAAGAACCGCTTCTCTCTGGGCTTCCCTCGCTCCTCCCCTCTCTGCCCCCCGCTACCCCGCCCCCTACACGATTTTGCGCGTGCGCACCGGCTCGCCCCTCGAGCTGCCAGAGCGCGGGAAAGCGGGAGAGCGCGAGGCGCGAGCTGGCGTTCGAGGCTCCAGGCAGAGGAGAGGGATGATGGAGGTCAGCGGAGAGCGGCGAGGCTCCGGAGCGGAAAATGCGGGTGAGGTCACTGGTTCGTTCCACAGACTTCTTGATCGCCTTCTCGGGGACACCGAGATGACCAAGCTGGAGTTATTCAGTGCCAGCCGTCGGGGAAGTTACAGCCCGGGGGCAGTGGGTAAGACCAACGCTCCTAACCGAAAGGGGAGAAGCCCACCCCTGCCTCCTCTTTCTCACCCCCTCCCCCCAAGACTGGCCGCCAGGACTCGGGGCCCGAAGTCGTGGCCCTGCGCGGACCGGTCATAGATGGGGGCGGGGGAGGAGCGCGGTCGGGTCGCCTCTGGCGCTGATTCAGCTTCCTCACCTGTACAAAAGGGCATCGTAACACTGGCTCCACCCACCTCACCAGGCTTATTGTGAGGGTCAGCCGGGCTCCCTGTGCCCTGGGAAGAGTGGGGAGGAGGGAGCTTCTTACCTTTACTGAGGGCGAGAGCAAGACAGACTCTCCTCATTCTGTGTCCCTGCAAAGTGTCCCCAAAGGAAAGACCCTCCTACCTCCCCCCAGATTCTGAGTTTGAGGTGATCCCATCAGGGTAAATGGACCGCTGGTCTAGAGTTGTCCCTGAGTTAGTAGGGATTAGTGGGGATGGAAAGGAGGGGAATTTAAAGTCGAGGCAAATCAGTGTATGCTTAAATCTATCCCCTCCTTGACGTTTTTTTACATAGGTGAAAGCAGATTAAAAATACCAAGGGCAGCCGTGAAAGGGAAAAGAAGTCTCAAAATGACAGCCCGAGGTCTTTGTGGAATGGATTTGGGGAAGAATAGGGGATAGTCCTGCCTCTTTGCCTTGTATATAGTAGGATTTTTTAAAAAATGTGTTGATTATGGTGTTCACCTATAGCTGGTAGGTTTCCACCACCCCATCTGGCAATAGATTTGGTTCCTATGTAGGAAAGTATTTGTGGAAGACTTTTGAGAGAGCCCTAAATCTTAAGGCCTGATTTTGGTGCAGGTCAGCATGTCCTTGCCTCAGTTCTCCATCTTTGAGAATATATCCTTCACTTTCCCTTTTTGACAAACTTTGTAAAGAGATGTATTGTGTGTTATGGGTTGGCCTGGATGACCATTATGGTCCTTTCCAATACTGTGATTGTGAATATACCTGTGAAATGTTTTGATCTCCTCAAGAGGAAGATGCTGTGTAAAGTTACAATAATAAACCCCACCTAGAGAAGCAGCGTGACAATAGATAAAGAACACCAATCATGGGGTCAGAAAAGACTAGGTTTCAAGTCCTGCCTCTGATACATATCGACTGTGTGACCTTGGGCAAGTGTCACTTAACTTCTCTTAAGTTGCAGACCAGGTAACAGGTACGTTCTATACTGTGGTAGAGGAAATTTATTTACTGTGAATTTCCTACACTAATGAAGTCACAGGTTCCTTCCAAAGAAACAAAAACTTACATAGAAGTTAGTTAGAATCATCCTTATTTTGATTTCCAGTGACAGGGAACACCCTGAGGTAGTCATTCTATTTTTGGACAGCTCGTATTTTTTTTTTTGATTATTTATTTTTCTAAAGTGGTATTTTTTTTATTAATTTACTTTTAGTTTACAACATTCACCTCTATAAGCTTTTGAGTTTTAAATTTTCTCCCCCTCTCCTCCCCTCTCTCCCCAAGACAGTGAACAATCTGATAATGACTCTACATATACATTCCTATTAAACATATTTTCACATTAGTCATGTTGTAAAGAAGAATTAGAACCAATAGGAGGAACCACAAGAAAGAAGAAACAAAACCAAACAGACGAAAAAAGAGCAAATAGTACGCTTTGATGTGCATTCAAACTCCATAATTCTTTCTCTGGACGTGGATAGCATTTTCCTTTTAGGGATCCTTGCATTGTTAAGAGGAGCTAAGTCTATCAAAGTTAATCATCACACAATGTGGCTGTTACTGTGTACAATGTTCTCCTGGTTGTTCACTTCACTCAGCATCAGTCCGTACAAGTCTTTCTAGGTTTTTCTGAAGTCTGCCTGCTCATCATTTCTTATAGCACAATAGTATTCCATTACATTCATATACCACAACTTGTTCAGCTATTCCCCAATTGATGGGCATCTCTTCAATTTCCAGTTCTTTGCCGCCACATATAGAGCTACTATGAATATTTTTGTATGTGTAGGTCCTTTTCCCATTTGTATGATCTCTTTGGGATACAGCCCTAGAAGTACTATTGCTAGGTCAAAGGGTATGCACATTTTTATAACCCTTTGAGCATAGTTCCAAATTGCTCTCCAAAACAGCTGGATCAGTTCACAACTCCATCAACAATGTATTACTGTTCCAATTTTCCCACCCTCTTCCCACCTAAGCAGTTCCCTTATCAGAGACACTGGTTGTAAAAGTTCTTTCCCAGTTTTCTGCTTCCCTCCTAATCTTGGTTGCATTGACTTTGTGCAAAAACTTTTCCATTCAATGTAGTCAAAATTATCCATTTTGCATTTCATAATGTTCTCTAATTCTTATTTGGTCATAAATTCTTCTGTTCTCCATAAATCTGACAGGTTGTTAGTAAATTTTTCAGTATACAGAGTCATAATCTGACTCCTTGTAATTTCAACCCTTTGTTCATAATTTTTCCCTCTGGGGCCAAGTAGAAGTAAGTTAACAATCTCTGTTCCACATGAAAATTCTTCGTATCCTTGAGGACAGCTAGTTGCTATGTTTCCCGGACTTAAATATCCCTAGTTCTTTCAGCCAGTACCATCTACAGCATGGTTTGTCTTTGTGCCTTCCTTTGGCCATATGTAACCTGGCTAAGATAGAGTACAACTGGCCTGTCACCTCCATAACTCTGGACACTCTGTTTGTGCTCACAAAGACTAAGATCCCATTAACCTTTTTGGCTGCCACATCATATCACTATCCCTTAGTGAGCTTTCAATCTACTAGTGACCCTGGATCTTTTTCATAGAAACTACTGGATTTTATTTATTTTTTTACAGTATTTCCTTCATCCTGTACTCGTTACAACTTATTTAAACCAGTTGCAAGACTTTACCTTTGTCTCTATTAAATTTTGTCTTCCCTTTGGGTGACCATTCCAAGACTGTTGAGATCTTAATGTTCAACTTGGGCCTGAGTTCAAATGTGCCACTACTTGTACGCTCTTAGACAAGTCACTTAAAATGTCTCTGGACCTCAAGCTCCTTATCTGTAAAGTGATGAGATTGACCTAAGTGACCTCTGTGACCCCGCTAGCTCTAGACCTGTGATCAATGATCTTTCTGGATCCTGGCTCTGTCATCCAATCGATCAGTTATCCCTCTAAGCACGCCTAGAGGATCACAGATTTAGAGTTGGAAGCAACTTCAAAGGTCCCCTCATTTCATCTATGAGGGAGCTGAAGCCCAGATTAAATGGCTTCTCAGACATCCCACAGATGCCTAGTGGCAGAGTGGTGACCAGTAAGACCAGATCTCACTCCGAATCTGTACCCTTTCCACTAGAGCACCCTGATCTGCTATCTCTGCCTTCACTGAATTCAGTGCCACTGACTTTAAAGTATCTCCTATATGCAGTGCGTTATTTTAGATTCTGGGGATATAAAGACAAAAACACACCTTCCTACCATCAAGGAGCTATGCTCTATTGTCATGATTTTAATATGTTGAACAGAACGAGCCAAAGATCTCTGGCACTATGTTAGAGACCTGCCTCCATGTTGATGTTGATCCATTAATCAGTACTCTTGGGTTCTGATCATTCAACCAGTTCCAAAGTCAATCTAACTTACTGTCATGTAATCCACATCTGTCTGTTTTGTATATAGATGTATTGGGTGGAGACTTTTTCAAATGCTTTGCCGAAATCTAGCTACTATGTTCGTGGCATCTCCTCATTCAATTGCCAGTCTGGTAACCCTGTAAAAAAGGAAATGAGGTGCCTTTTTGGTTGTTTGTCTACACATTTTCAAACTTTTATAAAGGTTAAAAAGTTATCCTCAACCCCATGCTCACTCCAGTACTTCTGTAGTAGATCATTATAATAAGGAAAATTTATCCTCATATTTTGTAGGATGAAACA